TCTAGACTGTCTTTCTTTTCTAGTCATACTATTTCGCTGATCTACAAATACTAAAGTTAGATTCCACTATGCTGTTCAGATAGTAAACTCGCCTGGAAAGAGATCCTGTTCAAAATTGGCTAACTCTATTTTTAAGATTCTTCAAAAACGCTATCCACTGTACAGATTAAACTAAACAACTAGCTGAGGAGAATGGGTAGATGGATGGATAGGTAATAGTAATTTACTCAGTATCTGTACCATGAATGTAAATTTCTAAAATTTAGATTTGACAAATTATACGAAACAGCATTAAATTTAGCTAAATTCACACTGATAACTGTTATATTTGGGATAACCTTACAGTGGAACTTTAAAATATTACTTCCAACCTACAAGTTTGTTTTTCAACTGTTTTGAATGTGCAGTATTATCACACAACTTTTCAAATAAACAAAAAGTATGATGAAATTACTTTATAAAGACATTTCCATGTTTACACTGAGACTTAGCAAGTCCATGCACCCGTTCCCTGTGTAACATATTTTTGTTTGTTTTTTGTATTTTAAATAGCTATGACTTAAATTTACTTACTTGTGTGTGTATGTCTGCTGCAGCTGGTCACAATGTAGGTCTTAGCTTCACCAGCAGGGGTCTCTAAATGCTGAGGCACTAAATCACTGTCGATATTAAACAGTGTTTTTTTCACATGACAACAAGGAGCTGTGGGAAAAATAATAGTAATAGTGATTGATAATGTTTTTACTTAAACGACTTTCATCATTTCATCATGCAGCTTTTTGCTGAAACATGAAATTGCATAAAAATGTATTTTACCTCCTGCATCAGTCTGTTGGCAGGGATCTTTGCAGATACTGCATGGAGTTGGAGGGGTCTCTACTTCCTCGCAGTAAAGCTCAACAAACAAGTCTTCGGCACTGATTTTCTTTTGATAAATGATTAATTCTATATTAAAAAAAAATACATAATAATCTCCTAATTTTTTATTCAAGTACAAATTAGCTGCTTACCTTCATTGTGGGTGCAGTCCTTAACATCCCACTGTCGCTTTAGGTTAATCCAGCAGTGTCTCTCTTATTACTTTAATGAAAGTAAAGTGATTATTCTTCAAAG